CTGTGCCGCGACCTTTCCACGGCTCCCTGGCAGGCCTCGCGCTGGCGAGATGGCCTTGGCCAAGCTGTTCCCATGCTCCCATGCTCAGGCCTGGGTGAACCTTGCATTTTTTATCAGGCGGTAGCGTGCGTGAAGGCGGCCGGTGTGGGGAGGCCCTTGAAGATATTAGACACGCCACAGTCGCCGGGAGGCAACGGCACTGTAGATGGGTCGTGGCTTGGGCGGTCTCGATTGGCCCGTGGTGGTGGTTGTGGCCATGGAGGTGAGCGTGCGTGTGTGTCTGTCTCTTGTCCCTCTCTCACCGTCGGTTTCAAGCTGCCTGCCAGGTACGGATGGCGAGGGTGACGAATGCTCCTTGCCGCCAGCGGCATAAATGCGCTGCCTGGGCGTCTAAGTCGCTACCTGGATAAGACGAAGGGCTATGATGGCTGTTTGACAGCAAAGACCATCTCGGATAGGTAGAAGCGTGATCACGGGCAGCCCGAATAAAGAGAACTGTGCGGATAGAAAAGTGAAGGGTTCTGCGCGGTCAAAAAGAGGTGCAATACGACAGCAAATTCCAGGCCAAGTCTCGACCTCGAATATCACCGACTTCGTCTCGCCCTGCAGCAGCTTGCAGCACGTCTTCTTCCTCCTCCCCCCAGCCACCAGCAATCCCAATCCCTCCAGCGGCCCAGGCCGGACGAAAAGGACACAACAGACCAGATACCTCGGACATTGCGGCTGGTCTCACCAAATTGAAAGGTACCATCGCAACTTAACTGTCCCCATCCAGCGGCGAATTGCTCCTGCCACCGCCTGCCTTCGCTCCCGTACCCCACCACACTACTTGCCCAATCCAAGCACTGAGCAGCGAGAGCAGCAAGCACGGGCCTCATTTAGCCCTTAAAGCGGCAACCCAGTCCCCCGAGGGAACTGCCACTTTCTGCCACTTGTACAGTGTCGCCTTTTGCTCATCATTGCTGAGGTGTGCTGTACCTGCTTCCCGCCTGCCTGCCTCTACCCAGAAATCCACCTTTGCTTGCCCAGCAGCCCCCCATTCGCTCTCCCACAAGTCGGGTTAGTAGGTCTCCTTCTGACATCCACGCCAGCGCACGACCGCCAGCCAACGAGGCCTCAGCAGCACCGCTCCGCGCACCGCTACCGCTTCCACGTCCCAGGCCTTCGCTCTCACCGCACACCACTCACACTGTGCTGGCCATTCCCACTCTTCTCCTTCTTCCCCCCTCCTCCACCCAAAATCGACTACCTCTCATCTTCCCGTAACCTTTCCCACTTTCGACCTCACCACCCATCGACGTGCTCTCCCCAAGTTCTCTGCCATCCGCTCAGGACTTTGTCAGTTCCATCTCGCTCGCACGATTCCGGAATCGAGTGAGCTTTCCTTGCTACTATCTTCTACTCTATTTCCCCCGTCTTAACGACCACATAATTCACAATGGAAGGTACGTGACGCCATCTCCTTTGCCAACTCAATGGCCCTCCGAAACGATCGATGCCTTCGCCGCCGGCTCTCGTCGCGATGCTCGGCATCCCTCGTCCTGCGTCTGCTTCCAGGACATAATCGCTGACTTGTTTCCGCATCACAGAGGAGGTTGCTGCCCTCGTTATCGACAATGGGTAAGCTGTCCCCGCCGTCTCACCGACCATTCCGCCTCATGGGTTTCGTTGGGATCTGGCCAACGTCAGCTCTCCCGATAAACCCATTGGCTCTCCATCCATCGATTTCATATCCATACCGATGAATTTGAATCTAACTAGAGCCTAGTTCGGGTATGTGCAAGGCCGGTTTCGCCGGTGACGATGCGCCCAGAGCTGTCTTCCGTAAGTCCCCCCATCCGCAGACCGCAACCCGCCTCTTCAGGGGGTACTCAGATTTGCGGTCATCAATCGGCGTGTGCTGTTGATGCTAACCACCACGTAGCCTCCATCGTCGGTCGCCCTCGCCACCATGGGTATGTCTGCTTCTCGCCCTCGCTGCGGTAATTTCCGCCCTCCGCGCCGCGATCTAACATGTGAATCAGTATCATGATTGGTATGGGCCAGAAGGACTCGTACGTCGGTGATGAGGCACAGTCGAAGCGTGGTATCCTGACGCTCCGCTACCCCATCGAGCACGGTGTCGTCACCAACTGGGACGACATGGAGAAGATTTGGCACCACACCTTCTACAACGAGCTCCGTGTCGCCCCCGAGGAGCACCCCGTCCTCTTGACTGAGGCCCCCATCAACCCCAAGTCCAACAGAGAGAAGATGACCCAGATCGTTTTCGAGACCTTCAACGCTCCCGCGTTCTACGTCTCTATCCAGGCCGTCCTGTCTCTGTACGCCTCCGGTCGTACCACCGGTATCGTCCTCGACTCCGGTGACGGTGTCACCCACGTTGTCCCCATCTACGAGGGTTTCGCTCTTCCCCAGGCCATTGCCCGTGTCGACATGGCTGGTCGTGACTTGACCGACTACCTCATGAAGATTCTCGCTGAGCGCGGTTACTCTTTCT